TAGCCGAACTTTGGCTTCAACTAGCCAAACTATGGCTTTTGGTAGCGAACCTCGCCCAGCTTCGACTGAGGCAAAAGTTCCTGTTGGTCCACTGTCGAGACGCTCTCAACAACGTTAGTGCCAGAACCAAGTTCGCCGTAGGGCTCGAGTTTTGGTCTCGCTAGACGGTTTTCACTATCGACCGAGAGTTGATCAGCCCAAGGTCAATAAGTTTGTCGAGGGTCGAGTGTCCAAAGAACGTCAAAATGACGAACTTCACCATTATACCCAATTAGGTTCGAATGACGAGCTTCAATACGAGGTTCGTCCAACTCAACGAGTTTGCTCTGTTGTGAAAGATAGCCAAATCCAGGCTCGTCGGGAGGATAAACCTCGTTCGAATGACGAACCTCTCTTCAACATGAGGCTCGTTTGAAACAACCATCGCAAGCTTACACTGCTATTCGAGCTGGTCAGATTCAAGCCTGTTGAAACAACAAGCTTTAGCAACGTATTCAGATACGTTCGACTGATGAACCTCGCTTTTAAAACGAGGCTCATCCAAAACAAACAGTGCAAATTTGCCTTGCTCAGGCTCGACAAAGTGATGAACCTTGTCAAAAAGACGGAATCTTGCCTTTAACCTCAGACCATCACTGTTATAGAGAAATATTCAAGGGTCCAATATGAGGTTCGACTCAGATGACAAATCCTTCCTTGGAACCAAGTTCGTCCGATTGACGAACCTCGCATGAAATACGAGGTTCGTTCCCCGAACCAGGTTCGTCCGAATATCAAAGCTCGCATGAATGACGAGGCTCGCCCAACCAACAAACCTTGTATCACACATGAACCTCGTCCAAGCGTTCGAGTGTGCCCAGATGACAAACCCCGTCTTCAGCATGAACTTCACCACATAGCGATGCTCGTCTCATCAGACGAACCTCGCCACGCAGTGAGGCTCATCTCATCAAGTGAAGCTCGATGCTAGAATGCTAACGGTCATGAAGACCCAGTCAGCCCACGTGGGCTAAAATCAAAGAGTTAGTTACCTTCCTGATCCCATGACTTTAACGTCAGTTACGCATTGATCGCTTATAAATAGCCATGAGCAGCTATGAAAAGAGATCACTTTTGGGAGACCAAAGGATCGGACTTTGAAATTCAAAGATCTAGACGCACGTATGTCAAGAGAAAATAGCAGTCGCAAGCAGCAGTTAAAGCACTCGATAGAGACTATTTCTTCCTCGGGTTGAAGCAATCTTGCTCCGATCGTCAACGATAAGTAAGCTCATCACGAGCATCGAACAAGGCATCTCATCGCCACATCGAACCCACGTTAAACAAAGGAGAAGTTGAATCAATCTTCTCTTCCTCTGTACTTGAAGAAGAACAACTGTAAAAAGATTCTTACGATGAATCCTTTCTTACAACCAAGCAGTTAGAGAATCAGTTATCTTGTCTTTTCGAGACCCTACAGGGGCAAATTCACTTGGTGCAATAATATGGAGGACCTTAGACAAACTTGGCAAGTTTTGAATGGGGTTCTTTAAACTGTTGACATTCTTCTATCAGGTGGACTCTCAAGTACATTGTTGACCAGAGACTTTTCGGATCACTGCCCTATTGTGTTATCTTGGAACATGGATACATACAAAGGCCCTCAGTTGTGGAGATTTCAGAGGATGTGGCGTTCTCATGTGGAATTCAAGTTTTTAGTTCTGAATATATGGTCTACCTCATTTTCTCAATCTCCTCTTTAGGGCCTCCATGACATACTCAAAGAACTCAAAGCCTCTCCCAAGGTATGGAACCTAAACTCTTTTGGTATTATTTTTACTAGAACTAGTTTCAAGCCCGTGCGATGCACGAATTTTTTTAATATACAAAAATTGATGTAGCAAAAGAATACAAAATAAAACAGTAATAATATATAAGTAGTCAGAAATGATACAACCTAAGTTGCATATATAGTTTAAAAAATTAGAAAGTTTGAAAAACTTAAATCAGTTTAAGATGATATATAGTTTGAAAAATGTAAATGTGTAAAAACGATATTCAGATATATGGTGGGAGTTATTTTATTATTTATAGGGTAGAAAAAATTCAAAATTAAAGTGAAATATCAAAAAGTACAAAAAATGGGTAAAATTTAAAAATTGAAAAAAATGAAAGGTTTGGAAAAAATGAAATTGGTAAAATAAAAGTGAAATGTCAAGAAACAAACAAAATATAATACCTATCATATAAGGGGTGTATGACATACACCTGATGAAAATAAGAGACAAATGTAATACCTAAATCAAATAAAGTCAGTGTAAGAAAATAGTATATGATTGCAATTTAAGAACATCATCAAACCATAAGAATAAGGCATAAGAAGTACTCAATTAGTTAAATAAAATGCAACTTTCACATACTCTATATAAACATAAGAAAGAACAAAAATATTAAAGTAAAATGCATTGCCATTGGAGAAAAACAACAAAACATAATATAATAGAAATACATTCTAGTAAGATTATATTGAGTTCATCACTTACTAATAGTAAAGATAAACAAAGAAACAAACAGATCTGAAACAGAAAAATATAATTATATATAAAAAAATACACTTGTATAGGCAGAAAAATCTTTAATTCTATCTTTGCCTTTTGTATTCATTTTTTCCTTTTGTTAATGTAAGAGTGAGCAATCTACCAATCTGTAGAAAAAACCATAACAATCCAAAACAGTAGTAGAAAAAAATGACAACATAAGATAGGATGAGCTATTTTCATGGAAGAAATGAAATCTGACAAATTAGAGTACATCAACTATGTCAAATGTCAGACAAAAGCAACATGTTAGCTTGCATTTACTGTCAAATTTCAGCCATTTAATTTTACAAACATTTAATGTATAACCTTGCATTTCTTCAAGCCAACAACAACGTCCAAAACTCTAAATCATTATCTTGCAAACAACAATAAAAACACAAACTCAAATCATCATTTATTGATATTCATAATTAAATAAACAAATAACTAAAAAAGGTACCTCATAAAATGACAAAGAAAAAAATACAACAGCATCCAATAACTTATCAGCCCATTATAATCAATTGCTCTCTCAATTTTTACACAACTCCAACATGAGTAAAAGCGTCTAATGGAGATACTCGAACTCATGTATTGTTCTTGTGTTTGATATTCCAAAAGAATGGAAGATCTTATGGAGCTAGGATTAAAACTAACCATGAAAACCAAAACAAAACAAAGTAAAATTAAAGAAGCAAATAAAAGGGCTTCAGTAAAAGCTGAATGATTTATCAGATATCGGTATTAGTATGGTTCATAAGATCATCATAAACAGTAAAATCAAACATATAACGAAAAGCCTAACATACAAACTAACTAAAAAGGAATATGTGCTTAGATCAAATACCTTGCTGATCTTAACAGAAGTAAAACAAATTGTTTAGCTTGAAAATTAAAATTTTGATAAAAATTAAAAGCAATATTCCAGTGAAAAAAATACAGGTGTGATAGCAATAGGTTCCATCAACGTAAGGAGTAAAAGAAAATAATTAGAGGATTACAGAGAAAGAAAAAACTAAACATAACTCAGACATTACATAATTTCCATTCTTCTGAACCTCCATTTGATGGAAGATCTCATAATGAGCTGGGAAAAATAATATCATCATTGCTTTAGAATAGAATAAACTAAAATGCAGGAAAATAAAATAATACGAAGAAAAGAATAGCAATAGCAAGGTTCCCCAAAAGTAAGAAACAAAAAAGAATAAAGAATAATAGAGAATGAAAAAACTACACATAGCTCAGAGATTACATAATTTTCATTCTTTGAACTTCCATTTGACGAAAGCTCTCACAATGAGCTGGGAAAAACAATATCATCATTGATTTACAACAGAGTTAACTTAAATACAGGAAAAAGAAAGAACATGAAAAATTAACAGCAATAGCCATAGCAAGATTCACTTCAAAATCAACATAAGAAACAAAATAATATAGGATTACAGAAAAGGAAAACATTAAACATAGCTCAGATGTTACATTATTTCCATTCTTTGATCTTCCATTTGATGGAAGCTCTCATAATGAGCTGGGGAAAAAAAAATAATATCATCATTGCTTACCACATAATAAACTTAAATGCAGGGAAAAAAAAAGAACAAATAAAAAGAATAGCTATAGAAGGTTCCCTTAAGCATAAGAAGGCAAAACATGGAATTAAGGACAAAGATCATTGCTTTGCCACAAAATAAACTTAAATGCGGAAGAAAAAAAAGAACACAAATAAAACTAATAGCAATAGCAAGGTTCCCTTGATAAGTAACAAACACAGAAGAACATGGAATTAAGGACAAAGAAAAAGGCTAAACAGAAAAAATTAATAACAATAGCTCAGACGTCACATAATTTCCATTCTCTGATCTTCCATTAGATGGAAGCTCTCGTAATGAGTAGGGAAAAAAATATCATCATTGCTTTACAACAGAAAAAATTTATATAAATGCAGAAAACAATGAGCAAACATAAAAGTAAGCGAAACTTTGCATAATAGTTTTCTCTTCACTAAAATATTGGCTCAACTTTCACCAAATCAAATGCAAAATGCACTTAAACATCCATAGTGAATTTCAAGCCGCAAGGGAAATATCCCACGATCCAATAAATTTTTAAACTAAGGTTCTCCTCTTCTCAACTTCATAGGTTCTCCTCTTCTCAACTTCATATAGGGTACATATATATTCACCTTTTAACATCATATCGCTTCAATTAAAAGACACTTAAAGAGTTGTGTAACGAAATACTTATCTGATTCATATATTCGGCCTAACTATTAGCGAGAAATAATAGAATTACATACCAGCACCTATACACCTAAAATTTTAAAATAATCAAACTGCAATCACGTAACACATGTTAATTGTTTATATTATTAACTAAGTAGTAAAATAAACATAGAAGAAATAGATGGGTCTGTGTGACAAACATAGAGCAAAACCTTTGCGTTACAAAGATGGTTAAGATCATACCGTGTTCTGACCAAGTGCTGCCCTCAGTGCAAGCTGATCGAACGTCAAGCACTCCCCACCAGCCTTGATGATCCTGGCCCGAGCAGTCTCCGTGAACCTCAAAGCTGCCACCTTCATTGCAGGAACCTCGTAGACATGCTTGTCATCTGTCACAGGGCCGACAATTACCGCAATCTTGTCCTCCTACTCAAATTGAAAAGTAAATCAGGATTCATAACAACAGAAATGCATGAAACACATAGACCTGTTAACGTTTGAAGTCAGATTTTGTAGATGTTTAAGAATCAGTTAAAAAGCTTCAACTGAAGTACTATTAAAAGATTCAAATCCTATAAACCTTCAAGTTCAACACAAGCTAAAGACAAAGCTAATAGGAAATCACACCAATGATAGTACGTGCTCCGTTGTTGTTTCTAGGTTGTACGCTTGTACTAATGGTTAACCTAGGGTCCTTCACGAACCAATCAAGTTTCAAAGGCCACCATTATCATCATCATGTATTAAATCTCTGATACTCAAAATAGCATGACATTCCCATCTGATAAGAACTTACATTTTGGTCAAGATTCCTCAAATTTCAACAAACTTTTACATCAATCATCAGCCTAGACTTTTGGCTGATACTTCAAAGATTTCCAGTAATTTCAGTTTTCAACCTTTTCCAAGGTTTCGATTTTCAATAAAGTAAAGTAATAGAAGTACATTTATACATCACAAAATGGTCCAAATGTAACCAGGCCTAGAGCGATCCAGATTCGATACTAAAATAAATTTCTATATCGAAATGTTCTATTCACAGAGAAAGTGCATTTTAATCTTTAATATGGACAAAATTATTATTAATTAAAATATAAGTAAACATCACCACTTGATGTATTAGAATTGAATGTATAATTTAATGAGATAAACACCAGCTCTCAAGGCGTACTAAGGTTTAAAAGATGAGAGGTGAGTGTGACGCAAACCGAAATAAGATTGTGTAACGTACAGGTGTAAATACTGGTCGATCAGTAGGTTCATAATCCATCCATTTTCATGTAGAGACAATGACCCTTTAAAAAGCTACAATTTTTTTTTTTTGAAAACTCACCAAATACGTAAGGTTCGTTTCCAGATTAAACCAATATGTATTGCTAGTAACTTTGAATTTCAAAAGTTAAAAGCTTAAGCAAATTCACAAGTACACTTCAAACATTTGTTTGTATCAATGAGGATCTAATCTGCAAAAATTAAAAGTAGTCAAATTTACATTTCCCTTCATGAAAGTGACAAGCCTCTTGAGCGAGATCGGTGGCTTATTAGTCTTTCTTATGAACAACCTCTTCAATATCACCGCATTGGAGCTGCTCCCTGTTCTCCTCACCAAAAACTTATACAACTATACACACAAAAAAAAATCTTAAAAATTACCAAGAAATGAGAAAAAATCGACAGATTTGAGAGAAGGATGAGAGGGTTAATAGATTTTTGGAATACAGGTCCTTGAGATATGAGATTAGTAATCACAATCATGGAGAAGTGGAATCAACGGGGAGAATACCAAGAGGCAGATGTATTGAAACGCAGAGACCGACCTGTTGACCTTCAGTGACACCGACGACCTTCGCTTCCAGTGATGCCGACAGATTTCTGTAGCGTAGGAATCAGTCTTCGCCAGGGGTTTTGCCGAAAGTTTTCTTTGGAAATAAAGGATGTATTTCTGTAGCGTAGGAATCAGTCTTCGCCAGGGGTTTTGCCGAAAGTTTTCTTTGGAAATAAAGGATGTGGGGATGGCGAGGATGAGAGGCTTACCGCCAGGGGTTTTGCCGAAAGTTTTCTTTGGAAATAAAGGATGTGGGGATGGCGAGGATGAGAGGCTTACTATTTTTTTCCCAGCTCATTATGAGACGCTTGGGTTCTCGAGGGCGACGCTTGGGAGTTGAGGGTGATTTCTTGGGAACTGAAGAGCGGGGGAAAGAACGGCTATGGGTGAAAGGAGATCTTGGGAATTGAAGAAAGGGTAAAACAAAAAATGTGGGTGAAATTGTTATGAGTGAGGAGGCGATTTTTTCGGTGAAAGGAGATCTTGGGAATTTTTTTTAAAGAAATTTTTAAAAAAACAGGAAATTGCCAAGTGGCATGTGCAAGGGTAACAGTTTAAAAAAAAAGAAGAAATTGCCAAGTGGCATGTGCAAGGGTAAGAGTTTTTAGTAATAGATATAGATTGTTGAGTTGTCCGATGAGATTGATTCACTTGATCACGCGCTGCAATTAAATTGAAATGAAAACATGTTCCAACAATGCACCGGCTGTAAAAGAAAATGGAGGGAAACTATCTCTCAAGAGGAGATTTTTTTAGAGATATAGGTCTAGAATCAAGTGGCTGAAAGAGGGGGATGAAAACACTAGCTTTTTTCCATGGCATTGCCAGAAGTAAATAAATTCAAGCTAGAATCCACTCTCATTGTTGGTAACTCTACTACCAATGGTCCTGAAGCCATCCATAATGCTGATATCTCCTACTTCAAGGATCTTCTACCTTTAGAAGCTCATACCATTGGTGAAGATTTACGTACCTTGATTAATTCCTTCATAGGTCACTCAAGAGGACAGTGATATTCTTGATGAGTCCTTCCAGTCTGTAGGAAATCCACTCAGCTGTTGAATTCAGTTCCTACTAATTAATACTGCTGCTGGGGTTGATGGCTTCTCGGCCAGCTTTTTCACTCAGATGCGGGATGCGATCAAACACTCACTTTAAATGCTACAAACAAGTTTATTCGAACCAAACCCTACCCCAAGGCATTTACTCAAACTGACTGTGTTGGTGTTAATTCCGAAGAAAAGCCTCCCCCCTCTTTCTTGATCAGGAGTCGGATACTGAGCACCTTTATAACACTACTAATTCACGATGCCCTTCGCACTTATTATCTGTAGATGACCTAATCATCTTCTCAGACACAGCAAGGAAAACCTTGATTAAAGTGATGCAAATCCAAAACGATTATTGACGTAGCCCTGGTCAGCGGCTGAGCTTGTCTAAAAGCCAATTCTTTGTTGCTCGATCCTAAAGCCTCCCCCTCTGCAAGGATCAGGGTGGTGCAGGATGCTACCAAGTTCTCCAGAAGAAGTGTTACTGCAACTCCGATATTGACAGAGTTGAAGCTAGAATTCAAGGGCGGCGTGCTAAACTCCTCTCCTCTGCTGGCAAAATCATTCTAGTTAAATATTGATCTGTCTAGTATGCCTATACACTTGCTTTCCTCCACCGTCGTTCCCAAATTAGTATTCAAGAAACTCGAACCTATCCTCGCTAGATTATTCGGGGTCCTTCAGAACTCGGCAGATGAAGACGGTGACTCAGCTGGAGGAAGTTTTGCTATCCATACGAAGAAGGTGGCCCTGGATTCAGATTTTACTCGATAAGAATCAGAATATCAAACTCCTACATGATACAACCCCTACTTTGTCAAGAGGATAACAATACAAGGCACTGGGCTCCTGATAAGGCTGGCCGCTTCTCCATCAAATTTGAGACCATGAGGTTCATTTATTAGCATACATATAATCAGACTACTGCTTCAACTGGCGACACTAGCAAAGGCTTAGTTTTCATAACAATTGAAAATGAGAAGGTTCTCAAGCAGAGAACCTTCATTTTCACCCTAATCATGACGCCAATTATGATATAAGTGACACGTCTCCATGTTGGTCAAAAGGACTTGAAACAAATACATGAAGTCTTAACCCATTATTTATCCTGTCATCAAGCAGATACTTAGCAGCAAAGTTCAAAAAGCAAGGATGAAAAATTGTGGCCATAATTGAGAAACTTCACACGTTATAAGCATCTAATCCTTTCCATTTCATCACTCGTCACAAAAATAATGTGTTACGCGTTACAACACAACAGAGGTACAAGCACAGCACCGAAACTAGATACAATATGTCAAATGAAGTGAATCGATAGAGAATCAAAACAAAGTAGAAACAAAACTAAGCACACTTCTTTCAGCATCACCAGCTTCTCGATTAAGTTGTCCGCTGAACAATGTGAATCCCATATTTCAATCCTCACCAAACTAATCTCTTCACAAATTGATTGTACAAAACCAGAACCTCCGATTTAATGATTTACACAGCGATTGCTGAATCCTGCAAAGAGCAAATAACAGAAGAAAATGTTAATTACACCAAAGAGGGTTAAGACAATAGTAATTTACGTCACATTTTAATCAGCAAAGAAAGGACTGAAATTAGGGTTTTTTATACAAAACCACCACAAGATATAGTGCTTTTCAGAAAACCACCACAATTTTTTTTTATTTTCATAGAACCACCACAAAATATAGTGGTTTTTTTTTTTTTTGAGAACCACCACAATTTTTTTTTTTCATAGGACCACCACAAAAATATGCATCCACAACAAAGTGCCACCAAATTATAATTTTGCATCTGTATCATGTTAAACAAAATGATATCCTAAATCCCTAACACACCCTCATGGTGGGACCCACCAATCTATTATTATATTTTCTCAAACCAACAAAATACCTGAGCACCGTTGATGACCTAGATGATTGGGAGCTTCCAATATGGCTCCCACTATCTTGGGTTCGATTCCTGATCGCCTCATTATCCAAAAAAACAAAAACAAAAACAAAAAACCTTATTTCCCTCTAAAACTTTGTTTACTCCCTAAAAAAAATTAATACCCTCCAAATACCCCCACTCATCCTCTCTAAAATTTTGTCATAACGGGCATTTATGTCATTTTATACTATTATTTAACAAAATACTGATGCAAATTATGACTTGGTGGGGCTTTGTAAAAGATTGATATTTTCATGGTGGTTCTATGAAAAATAAAACTTTTGTGCTGATTTTCCGAAAAACCAGTATATTTTGTGGTAATTCTATGAAAAATTTTATGGTCGTTCTCCAAAAAACCACAGTAAATAAACACAGTCTGTAGAAAAGTTAGTTCTTTTGATATAAGCAGGGGATCGCTCCTCTAATGTGTGTGTGACGTAAGTAGTAAGATGCAGTAAAAGCAATTTAAAACTTCCACGGCACCAATATTGACAAATAAGGCTTGACAGTTACTTTAAATCATTTTTTATTAATCTTTTTAACTTATTTGTGGCGTGAGGGTATCTCATATGTGCCCTGATCAGTATCTACTTCTCTGGAAGTCTCAATGACATCTTTCTAGCTAAATATTAGCAATCTAGCAGTCAAAACTATTCATGAATGCAAAGCACCACAGGAAAGTGAAGTTTATATTTTCACTCAAATTTTTGTTTTCTTCATATCCTGTTACTTGTATCCTATATGTTTGCAAAACTTGCATAACACCTGAAGTTCCCTCTTTAAAAAACCAGATCATGTGCCAGAAGATCTACTGTAGTAGCATGTATTTAGTAGGATACAACATAATTTCTCAAAGAAGCATGTGTGATATTCTTTAGAAAAAATATTAATGATTAACCCTTTAGTCCCACAGCCATCTAGTCAAGATCAGCATCCCCTGGAATTCTGGTCAATGTGACCTGACCTGTGGCGCATTCCCAATCCGTATTGGTAAACTGCAACCCAAGAACAGAAAGAAGAATAATAGCAAATCCCTCTTGGTCCTTTGTCACATATTTATTTATTTATTATTACTTAATAGACTTATTTGAAGTTTTCACTGCTTTTACTAATATTATCTTTAAATTTGAGTTTAAATTTTGATTGCTTAATTTAATTATTTATATTTTTCTTGAAGTAATTTCTTTTTTTTAAGTATCATATTGTGGCTCTAAAGATATTAAAAGCTACCAGCTGTTGTGATCGTTAGCCCTTAACTTTGCATGCCTTCAAATGTGTATAGACATATATTTATATTGCACATCCATGTAGCAGAATTTCAAAAGTGACCTAGCAAAAACCTTCCAGTGTACTGATCGAACCCAGCAAACACACTTCATACTGCATTATCATTCAAATTATGGTAGCCTGTCACTTGCGACAAAACTTGAAACAGTAAATTAAACACTGCAGAACACGAAGGGCAAGTGACCAAAGAGCTAAAGGGAAAAGAGTGACAAATCACTGATTGGTGCTTACTTCTTCCTTATCAACTGATTTGCAGATTTCACTGTTTGCTGTCTGTCTTTAAAATTGAGATTAGATTTTGATTGCTTAATTAAGCATATTGGCAGCAGTCAAGCACCACCTAAGCAGCTAGGCATTAGATGGTGGGTCTGTGACTTAGCTCCACCTTGTGTCTTCTAATACATTGCTTATACACATAATATTACTGTTTATGCATAGACTTTTTTTCTGAAGTTCCCCATCTGTTCTTAGTTGACTTCAACAAATAATGTCATTAATTTTTTATCTAGCAAGCAGGAAGTGCCAAACTCTTTTTTTCTAGAAAGTAAATAGTTTAGTAGTGAAGTGTGTATAACAACTACAAACAGAATGCATTTATACAAAGTATAATATAAACCATCATATTCTAGCTAACTTGGGTATGCCAATTTGCATTACTTCAGGCCAATGCCCTACACTTTTTACACACTGTTGGAATTGTAAATTGTATGGATAAGAACTTTAACTTCAAGATGAAGCTTGCCATTTATTTTATCTATTTATTTTTTTCAGTTACTTGCCGAGCACATGATGTCAAGTCATGTTGTCTAATGTCCTACAAAGCTCAACTGATACTCAAGCCCGAGATCCTTCTCTAAGTCAAACCTTACAAGCTGAAATGACAAGCTCGAGGTTGTTTCCAAATATCCAGGTACCTACTACTTTCATCTATCCTTAAATTGATTATCATCTTCAAAGGAGGCGAAACATGCCCTTTGGAAATATGAAATCAAAATCAGGTCTCAGAAAAAGTAATCAGTACATAGTTTGTATTTTATGGCATTTGATCTCAATAGGATATCTGAAAAGTGATACAACATTGAAGGTAGATAGTTGATGGGCAATTTAAATCCACTATCAAGTGGTCTGAAGTGTAAAGAGCTCTTACCTTTGCAGTCAAGTTTGTCACTGCTAATTGGAACTTCTCTTTTGTTTTTGCACCAGCCACTTGACCAGCCTTTGCTACCTTGCCAAATGCACCATTTAACCAAGATGTTCCAGCAGTTACGTACCTGTCGATTCATGCCAAAACAATTAGCAATTGACTCCAGAAACCTACAATTCTGAGTTAATTCATGCCAACACAGAAATGCAATTATGATTCCAGACAAAGTTATCTTGAATCTTGGGAGTCTCAAGGTTGTCATTTGATTTGGAATACAAACCCAACTGGATTCAGGAAGCGAATTGATACCATTCTACTGTGAGTTTTATGATATGATATGACACATAAACAGTGGAATGCTATAATAAATTTAAGTTACATAATTATATTAAAAATTATAATGTAGTAAATATACCAGTAAAACTATTGTACTTATACCTTTGATAATTATTATAATTAAGTACAGCTATTCAGGCAAAAGATTATAACCACATAAACAAAACGCAGCTTGATCATGAACAAGGGAATGATGTAAATCATATTGTCTTAACAAATGAACAATGAATTTGTAATAAGCATGCTTCTCTTGATTAACTCATCATGTTTATGTGATTATTAGAAGGTAAAAGTAGTCTACAACATTTGCATACATCAAAAAAGAAATAAGTGAAAAAAACACAATAGAATGACAACCCACATTCAAGAGTAAAACCATAGAAACAAAAACAAAAATGAGCAATAGCATGCTCTCTTATAAAATCATCAATGCTACACATTAAATTAAAAAGAGATCATACGTGAAAAAGATTCAATGAACTAACAAACTATATCAATAAACTTTTACCCCACAGGAAAATGGAACATCAATACAGCAAAGTTGAGAATGTTATAAACACAAATTATCCCAAGAATATAAAATGCCAATGCTTTCGATCTTTGTAACTATCATATATAATAGTTCCAAGAATAAAAGAGGGAAGGTTTGTTGCTGCACAGGTCTTCACTGGTATGATGTGGCACACTCCCAAACCACGCCAACCCTGACTGTCAACAAAACCTAATACCCCCTCACCCCACATTTCAATTTATTTAAAAAAACCTCTCCACAGCAGCTCCAAGAACCTCAGCCTCTCTAACAAATCAACAGCTCCAATACTTCTCAAAGTAGTTATAGGTATTCAAATTTGCTGTTTTTATATATTTATTCCAGAATTTTCTGCATGTTTATTAGTTTTTATCTATGTACTGGGTACTTCTATTTGGAAACCGTACCCAAACTTCTTGGACACTTCCAACGTACATACTTATAACCGTGTCCCCATACCCTACCTTTTACAAATTTGCCATTTCCCATACCCATACCCGTATAGCACCCGTACCCATACCGATACCCATGCAACATAGGTTTTTATCATCAAGAAATATCTTAACTAATGCAAAAATGTGCCTAGATGGCGCCTACATGGACTACGCTGGGTGACAAGTTCGGCACCCAAAAGCACTTCCAACGTTGTTTTCAAGCATACACTTTATTTCCCATCAACTTTGTGGCAAACTTAATGTGAAGAAATACACTAATCTACCTGTTTGTTTTGACAGTTGTGCCTGTATCAATTAATTTCCGCTCTGCTACAGTCAAGGCAGCCATTGTTTTATCTGAGACCTGCAATCTTTGATCAACAGACCTCACTTTCTCATTCACAACTGTGATTCCAACAGTTATCTTCTCAGAAAGTCCCACCCTCTTATTAAAGGAGATGACCTTAGCAGATGCATTGGCAGTCAGGTTATGCTTCTCATCAAATGCTTTGGCTTTGTTCACAGCATCTTGACGGATTGCTGAACCTCGTGCCATCATACTATTTACAACTTCTTGCGCTTTACTAACATAAATCCTTCCACTGCCATGACTACTTCTAGCCTGTAGGTAGATGACAAGTCAGCATGAGAAAGAAAATATTTTAACATGCAAGACAACGAGACATAAGGAAAAAAAATACACAGGACAGGCACCTCAACAGTAGGCACATCATCCCCCAGAGGAGTTACACTTGGTAGAGTCATAACGTTCCCTGTTACAGCTTGCTGCATATATCATAACATGTATAATATTAAAGTAACTAAAATCAGTCCCATGAAATAAATAACTGCTTCAAAAATGTTTGGTACCTCAACTTGTGGGACATAATTTTCTGCAGCAGTTATGCTCACTATCTGATCTACTATGGTGGCCCCCTGCACAAGTATGGTGTTATCTTATTAGTAATGAGATTATTCAACTCAGACTTCCAGGATGAACCACTAGAATCTAGTTTCCATGTAAATAGACAAAAAAGTATAGTATTATCTTATTAGTAAGATCCTAAGTTAATCAAATAAACAAAAATTTTAATGTGATAACCGAATTCATTCATGTATACAAACATGGGGTACTGAGGTGCATTTGGTTACCCATGTCCTCTCATGATCGGCACATGTTCCATGTTCTGCTGAGCTGTCTGTGCTCGACACAAGCGTCATCTACGACCCTTAATCTTTATGTACAAATTTTAAGATCCAAACAGTGGCAACCTCTTTTAACAGCCATTAATGATGTGGAGCATTAGATAACTACACAAAATTTATTGGCATATGGAAGCTCTCAAAGCAGCTGCACTCTTGTTAACTAGCGACTTACTAAAGTGACAAAATGTTCACAAAGGAATAAGAATGGTAGGATGGCGAAAATCAATCTAAACCTATAAGAAAAATAAAACTTTCGGAAAACATTGGTCAATGTGTTCAATGGGAAAACCAGCATTATGATACTAAAGAGGAAGGGGAAGCAGAAAGATAGGGGAAGGTCTGTTTGGTGGCCAGTGTTTACTTAAAAATAAAAACCAGCCTAACCTTGAAACTGATCCCTTATTCATGTATTTGAGTATTTATCAGTATAATTCTGAAATTGTAGTCTTTTAAGTGAGAGAGGGCTAAACAACTAATCCACATGGTTTAAAAAGTTGGAAGTAGAAGGTAAGAGGACGCAATAAGATCCCACCAAACAAAGAACTCTCCTAATACATATATAACCATGTTCAATGAACTTATTTCTCTTGGGTTCTAGCAACATAATCAACTTAACATGATTGGAGAAGGAAACACATTACAGCCATATTGAAGGTAGAAACCCAAGAGCAGCCAAAAAAAGAAGAGAACAAGTACAAGGAAATGCATACCAATGTTGTCCTTAATAGAGAATACTACTAAAAAGTCCAACCATGAATGCACCTACTCAAAATTGGACTTAAAAAATACTACTAAAGAGGCCCAACCATGAATGTAGTTACTTAAAACTTCACTTAGAAAGAACCTATACCTTGTTTAGCTACCTAAAAAATAATTTATAACTTGAAAAGTAGAAAAGAGTGCATGAAGTATGAAACCTAAAAGTAAACTCACAGGAACTACATTACAGCTGACAACTTAAGCACTTATCTCGATAATTTTTTTTCTTCTTTACAGATGAGACAAGCAGCTGAAACGTAAGACTCGGCAATGTCCAGTTCTCTCTCTTTGCTTCAATACAATTGATATTGTCAGGTGCAATATCAATACAAGCATCAGACAACCTTTACCGTTTATATGCAGAATACATTACTCCATTCCATATGATTCTATAGCGTAGTTACTGGTTAGTGCCCGCAACATTTCTCCTATTCTTATATAGAATCACACTGGATATATTTTCCATCCACTTTTGTATTATCCGAAAACCAGGAAGACACACAACAGACACGCTTGTACTTTTCTAGAATTTCCACCATTTAGCATCTCGCAAGACGACGCTATGAGCAGAGATTATAGCAATTCAACAGGTAGAATGTGTGTAACAATTGCAAACCAGTGCCACTCAACCAAACAATCTCAACAGAAGGCTATCAAAGTTTCCAACCAAATTAACTGGCCTAAAGGGTCTTTCCAACCACTACCGCGCGCTCTTAGTCATACAATTCAAATGAAAAAAAAATTAATCAAATGACTAAAAGTTACCGATAGCAACAACGCAATTTCGAGCGCCTTCGGATCTCTAAAGGTAACAAATGCGGTCCGCAGAGCCCCAACTTCACGACTGCGCACAATAAATAAGCAAACAAGATATCATGATGATCCCAATTCAAAGGTGTTCATTAAAAGGAAACCCAGCTTAAAAAATGAACGCAAATGAAACCCTAAAATCCATTTTTTGAACCAAAATTTAGGTGGGGAGGGGGAATTTTTGGAAGAAAACCTTACCTTCGGATCTCAACGTGCTCGATCTCGCCTGAGAACGAGAAAAACTCTCGAACCTCTCTCTCCCCGGCTAGATCCGAGATGTTCCCAACTCGAACTGTTCTCGTCTACGAATAAAAAATTGCAAAGTTAATAACAGTAGTTAACATTAATCGACAATAAATTATTAAAAGGGGCTAATTTTAGGATTTCATTGATTATTATTAGTACCTGAATCTGCATTCTCGAAGATTCTAAGCTCTCTCTCTCTCTCTCTCTCTCTATTTTCTCTCTCAAGCTTTCTATGGAACCGAGAGGAGGAGGAGGAAGAAGAATGGAGTGCACTAGACCCCAAACGTCTAAATAATAACGAAAATACCCTTTCCTTGGGCTGTTCGCTGTTTGTAGGTAAGGGTGCTTTCGGTATTATAGGCTTCTTCAGGGGCGAAAGGTAGTAGGGGGGGTCAAGGTGTCAAAGCTGGTTGCTTGGCGACGGCCGCCTATGACCTGTACTACTACGAATTGGCGAAAGTGCCCTTGCTTAGCTGTCCTTGCACGGTCGATGCCGCCGCTCAAGGGTTCAGATTTCCGATGGGCATGATTGTCTTTTTCTGCTTCTGTTTTGTTTATTTACTTGGTTTTATTATTTTAGTAGAACAGAAGGGGAATTTGAGATTTCGTCACACGTTCTGCGCGCAGCAGGCTCGCCTCTCGGTTCGGTTGCTTTTGTTATGGCTTGTTACGCTTGGTCAACTAAATATTTCATCTCATCTGTGCAAGTAATCACAAGCCTATCTAAAAATATGTATTAGTCTAATAAAAAAGAATATAGATGCTTGCGGATGTATAATAATAAGCATGCATGGATTATAAGATCGCAATTTTTAAAATATATTTAGATGTTTCGAAGAAAACAGGAATATCTTTAAAATATGTGTATTGGATCTGTATGGTTAGGAATTGATTTTGCATCCTTAGAATAATGGCCTAGATCAATTGAGCGGATCCATAAATTTAAATCTATAGCGTCGAGATATGTTGACCGACTGTTGATTTGAGAAAGATATAATTTATCTAAGGGCAGCATACGCACTGTAATATATATATATATATATATATAATATATATAATATAATATAGTAATTATGAATATATATATATATATATATATATATATAATAATATATATATATATATATATATATGGAAAAGTGAATCTGAAGGTGCCCACCCTAGGCTCTCACCTAAGGACGCCGCGGCTAGAATCACATCATTCCTAAATTTTTTTTGCGATCCGCCTCCGCGTAAACTTGAATCTAACACATTTTTTTTCTAGATCAAGTTTAACGGAGCGGATCGCAAAAAAAAAATACGGGAATGATGTGATTTAGGCCCGGACGTCGCTATAGGATGGTGAGGCCTAGCGGGGCCACCTTAGAATTCACTTTTCTCTATATATATATATATTTTTTTTTTCCAATGTTCAAGCTAGACATTGACATCAAAAACATGGTCAAAAATAGAAGTTTGAGAATTGAAAATACATAAGAGAATAATGAGAACTACATTACTCTCTGCTAGTGATAGTCACTACAAATAATAGAAGTGTGGGGTTCCTTGATGAGTTCAGCAATCTATACTACTTCTAAAAGATGAAAAACAATAATGAATAGACCACAAATAAGGAATTAGATTTAGTATAATTACAATGGTTTATTTTTTTAATTATTGATCATACTTTCAGCTGTAGTGTAAAGCTAATTCTTTTTTTAGCTCAAACAACTCGTCAGTTTGGAAAACTTTTTGATCTCCTGTGTTGCCGTAATGTCAAAAGCAATTTTGTGGTAGTCCAGACCTTATATTGTCTCCTCAATAGTTGGCAGTTATTAGCCGGCATATGTGGTGGTATTTAAGTTCAGCTTTCTTGCGCCTGAAATTCAATGTGATACAAACATAGAAAATGTGTACCGTCGCTGATAAAGCGGAGGCCAGGCATTGATCGATATTCGACGCGTATTGCTTCTGTGATATTTTTCCCTGAACCACTCTCGGCAAACTGAGGACTTTAAGCATGTGCCATCCCTCTCGTATTTGATTCATGTTGAACTGCTGCTGATATGCCTTGCAAATATATCCGTCTCCACCTATCGTTCAGCTCCTCAGTCCTAGTTGCACAAATTGGATGCTGTGCCTTTTGTTTGTACATGTGGAACTTTAGGGTCTTCACATTGAAGAGCGTTTCACTCTCACACGCTCTCATCTGTTTCTCATTCCCAGACCTAATCGTAGCCTGGCACCTGACTGAACTTGTAATCTGTATTCTAGGATAATCTTAACTAGCTATATAATAAAAATCTCCTCTGAAAATATCCATAACATGTACAACTACAATTTTTCAATTATATAGGCACGATCTAAGCTCTCTGCTGAACGAGCAGAAAGTACATATGGTAAAACAAAATAGAGTCAAGCAACTATGATGCTTGTGCTTTGGATATTAATTGATAGAATCTACGTCTTTGCCTAACAAGAAGGGCATGAGTTATGTTAAGCTACTTGTTATCCTTGTTACTGGAACCTTGGGACCATATCTTTCTGGGGGTATCATGAGAGCAAGGGTTCAAAAAAGATTCCGTGATATTGCAATAATGAGAAGTACCTCACCTGTTGGTATTTAAAACGATCTAATACATGATCTAAATAACCGTGATTAATTCAAGAGTATTAAAACAACAAGAGCGGAAGTTATACCTAAATCCAATTACACATAGTGATAGGGTATTGATGAACTATCTTTTTGGGGTCTCTCCTAGAATCATTTAGTGGGATAGAGAATAAGAATGTCGTTGGGCCTGTCTATTTACTAGCCTTGTTGTACTTTTAATTGGGGCCTCTTCATCGAAAATTATAGAAATTATAAGCCTGATATCTGCATATTTTACCGCACATGATTTATTTAAACACCCATTAACCCAAATTGATCTTGATCACACTTTATTTTGTGTGTCGCTTGCAAAAGATAATCGAATATCATATTGGTTACATCATATGTGCCCCACAAATTAGATTTAATTAGATTTAAATCCACAATCCCACTTGGCGCATCCTATATGAGTTCACCAAAGTGGTGTATAGCGCTATGACTTAAATATTGCTATCACTCAAAAAAGGGTAGATTTCCTAAATAACTCTCATCAATTGATTTATATCATATAAGATCAAAGCAGGCATTCCGCCTACAACTTTAGTCCGTGACTCGATCATCAATGGTCACATATACCATACAAGTCAAAGAGACTACTGATCAACCTCAAAGGATGGGCGCTCGATTCGGTTGATCAGCATGCTTTTTATGCACTTTTTGTTGAGGTCTCAAACAGTAATCGGTAGCCCAGATATCGTATGAACTGAAACTCTTATTCTGAATCAGACCCAATACAACTCTAACTAAAGCCCATGCATCACAACTCCCACAAAAAATCATGATATCCTCAAATAATCATCACACCCCATGATAGCCAGCTGTGCCCACTGAAAGACTTAGGCTGACAATCCTTTAGTAAGCAGGATCCAAACTATGCATCGGACGTTCTGTTCTAATGTCTCTACTCGGATGGATTTGCTTTAGCTCTGTACCCCTTCTCTGTCACCAACCAGGAAGCTTAATGTCAATATGTTTGACCTTAGTTACAGCTGCCTGTTGTTTTGGCAAGTACATAACTGCTAGAGCTTTATTATCACAAAACTAATTTAGTGGTCCTTTCGCTAATATTCATTTGCAGAAGCTGCACAGGTCCAGCGTGAAGTCATAAATTTCACTAGTCATCATTCCCTACATTAGATGTCTTATAGCAAGCTACAAACTCAAGTTGTTCATAGTGGAGGAAGCTACAGTTATCTGGTTTGACGCACTATTAGTGATTGAGTCAAGCTCTTCTCGGCTAACAGTATCAATGTAGGCCTGGATGTTAGACGTTCTGCTAACTCATTGGCATCCACGCGCAAAATTAGAATCAGAGGTAGCCAATGACCGTCCAACTATATCTAATTTTTTTTGTATGTGATCATATAATGCTTTACTTTTTGCAAGTATACTCATAACCCTGTTTGCACTGGCTATCCGCAACTGATCCATACAGGCGATTAGCTTAACAGTAAGTCTCCCTGAAACATCCTAAACAATGTACGCAATACTTCCGACGACACGGACACATCCTGGAGCAACCATTGAGTTTTGTTCTCTTTCTGTTTCCTTTCTCTCCTACAGCGCGAGCATAATGAATCTTCTATATTTCCTGAATTTGCCAAGGTTACCTTTAGGGCATCTGATTGAGAACTTGGAACTGTCCTTCGTTGTAGAACAACAAAGGGTGTCTCCTGGTTTGTAATCCTTGGCTTGCCAATTTTTGAGTGGGGGGCTTTATGCTTGAAAGCCTTTTTGTGATAATCGGCCAAGGTCAATACCCTTTGACGAATGATCCTTGATGTATCTAGATTCCCTTAATATAAAAGAGGGCGTCCCTAGATCTTTCATCTCAAATTCTTTGAATACGAAATCTCCTGGTTTCGTATACACATCGCCTTATATTATAGTGGCCAGCAAATATACTCCATCGACCAACAGGATCAGCAAAATACTTACTTCGCCACTGGAACTTGTGATATACATAAGTCATCAAATGAATATTCGATGCCCTCAAAAACCCAACACAGATAATCTATTTCGTCTAACACATTGTAAATACCAATAGACGACGAGCCTTGCGTGAGCTCTATACGATAGGGAGTTTCCTTAATTTTGTAAATTATATAAAAAAAATAGGGAATGATGTGATTTTAGGCCGCGTCCTTAGGTGGGAGCCTAGGGTGCCACCTTAGATTCACTTTTCCCTATATATATATATATATTTTTTTTTTCCAATGTTCAAGCTAGACATTGACCATCAAAACATGTCAAAAAAGAAGTTTGAGAATGAAAAACATAAGAGAATAATGAGAACTACATTACTCTCTGCTATGATAGTCACTACAAAATAAAGAAGTGTGGGTTTCCTTGATGAGTCATCAATCTATACTACTTCTAAAAGAGAAAACAATAATGAATAGACCACAATAAGGAATAGATTAGTATAATTACAATTGTTTATTTTTTTAATTGATCATACTTTCACTGTAGATGTAAAACTATTCGTTTTTTTAGCTCAAACAACTCGTCAGTTTGGAAAATTTTGATTCCTTGGTTGCTAATTCAAAACAATTTTTGGTAGTTCAGACCTTATATCTCCTCAATAGTTGGCATTATTAGCGCATATTGGTGGTATTAGTTACTTTCTGCTGAAATTCAATGTGATACAACATAGAAATATTG